TGGATATTTACTGTTACATCGGTTGTAATACCAATAATATGGAACTCATATTGCCCATAAACGGAGCCATAAAAAAGAGTGGTGTATACCTATTTGTAATGCCATGACAACATCTCAAAAACACATTATTAAACAGAAAAGGCAAGATACAGGACCACAGGTATGATCTCGTTTGGAGCTATAAAAACTTGCGTCTCTTTCTGCCAAACCTTCTGCTACTGGAACAAGATTAATTAGGGCAAAAACCTAAAGCTAACCTTTTTTTCTTTTACTCTAGACAGTGGACTTGTGGTTGTAGATACTTAATTTTTTCTCCCTAATGCGCAATGCTGCAGAATGCTGCCTGTCCTCTTATCCGTACCCGAAGAATTCTCAGGCATCACAAAACGGTGGCTACAGCACCCAAGCTCACGTGAAGGTTACCCTCCAGCAGAACTCACGTCTCACAATTTTCAGTAGATTCTAAATAGGAGTTCCAAAGCATTGGGAACAGCCCGGCGCTCTACCGCCCGCGGCACAAATCCATTTTCTTTGCCTCAGGCCATGTGCCCAAGTCCCACAGGTGTCTCTATGGCAAACCTCCTAAGGTTCAAGCCAGGTGCGCATCCGCCGCCTGTCCGAAGCTGCGGAGAAGAGGCCCAGTATCCCCGACCGCCACCAGGCCCCTTCCTCAGGTGGCTCCCTACCGGCGCGTGGGCGGCGGCGGGCACCGCAGCAGGCGCCACCGCTCTAACTCCTTCTGGAAGCGGAAGGCGGCGCGAAATCCCTTCTTCACTCCTCGAACCGGCGGGACGAGCATGGGGACTGCCGGAGCCAGGAGGCAGTGAGGCCCCTGCTGGAGCAGGCTCACCAGCCTAGACGCCATTGCAGGGGGGAAAAAATAAAAAATAAAAAATAAAAAAAAAAAGCAATGGAGGACGGAAGGAAAAAAGTCGAGCCGGTGTTGCTGGAACACAGATCCCCCGGAATTAGGGAGCAGGGGCGGGGACAGCACGTGAGGGCGGGGCGACTACGGCTGCGTTTTCACTGCGCGTGCGCAAGCGCTGGTTCTTGCCCACTTTGAGGTTTCGTACAGATGAGCCAGTTTAAAGGGCTTTTGGGTTCTGGAATTTCTGGCACAAGTTTCTTCACCCGCTCTGTTGCTCTCTTGTTCCTTCAGTTGCTCTCTTATGCCTTATTTTCTCATTAAAGCAGAACAAAAAAACCTGTTTCACTTTCAGGTTAAAGAAAACACTTAAATTCTCAAAAACTAAAACATTTTATATTTATATTTAGTTTTAGAGTTCCAGA